CAGAGAGACACTTCTTGATATTGCACACGTTGAAGGTATCGTGAACTTTGCTGAGTTCTTGAGGTAACTTGAGTTTGTAAGCCACCAGTCCAACCCTTGTCAGGATTTTAAAAGGTCCGATGTATCCGAGATTGTGTTTACCTTGTTTTTCAAATCTAATGACACCTTTCCATGGGGCGACCTTTAGTAGGAAACATTCTCCTACTTTGAATTCTAGGGGTTTACGTCTAACTTCAATATAGCTTTTCTGTGATTACGTGCGGCCTTATTCGTTCCTTTATCTAAAAAATCTTCTCCATTGTTTCATGAATGATCTCAGCACCATTGAGTAGAGTATCTCCAACATGCTTTCTAGCTATGTGAGTATCTCCAACTTCTACCCAACATATCAGAGAACAACATCTGCATCCATACAACGCCTCAAATGGAGCATCTATTATGTTAGTGTGGTAACTATTATTGTATGAAAACTCAACTAACGACAGGTGAGTATCCAATGCATTACCGAAGTCTATCACATAAATGCGGAGCATGTCTTCCAGAGTTTGTATCACTCTTTCACTCTGCCCATTCGTTTGAGGATGATATGCCGTACTCATGCTGAGTTTGGTTCCTAGGGACCTCTGCAATGATTGCCAAAATCTGGACGAGAATCTGCTATCTTAGTCCAAGATAATAGATATTGGCACGCCATGTAGTCTAACTATTTTATTGAGGTAGGTCCTGGTGAGTTTCTCCATCTTGTCAGTTTCTTTGATGGCTAGGAAATTGGTGGACTTGGTCATACAGCCAACCACTATCCAAATGGTGTCACAACCGCTTGAAGTTTTTGGGGAATTTATTACGAAGTTCATGGTTTTATATTCCCATCTCCATTCCAGGATTAACGGTTGTTGTAGTTGACCAGATGGCTTCTGATACTCTACTTTGAATTTGGAGCAAGTCAAGCATTTACTTACATATGTGGCAATCTCTTCCTTCATGTTGGGCCATCAATAAAGCTTCTTAAGATCGAGATACATCTTATCTGACCTAGGATGTATTGAATATCTTGAGTGATGAGCTTCATTTATGACTAAACTCTTGACTTCACCAAACCTTGGGGTTCAAATTCGGTTCATGAAATATTTTGTTCTATTTTCCTTGAGGTCGAACTATGTTTCCATTCTTTACATATTTTCTTCTATGATATTTTAAGGTTTGAGTTCTTCTAGCTGAGCGTCTCGAATTTGGGTGGTGAGATTGGAGTGGATTGTTAGGGTTAGAGCCTTTACACGAAGTGGCTTTTCTCGCTCTTTCTTACTTAAAGCGTCTGCTTCGACATTCTCTTTACCAGGGTGATAACGAATTTAGCATTTGTAATCATTTAGCAATTCGATCCACCTTCCTTGTATCATGTTGAGCTCTTTCTGATCGAAGATCTCTTGAAGGCATTTGGGGTAGGTGAACACAAGACACTTTGTTCTGTATAAGTAGTGCCTCCAAATTTAAGGAAAATAGTAAAACTCCCATCTCTAAGTCGTGGGTAGTGTAGTTGGTCTCATTTGGCTTAAGTTGTCTGGATACGTATGCAATGAATTTATTACTTTGCATCAATACACATCCTAACCGTTGGTGAGAGGCATTGCAGAATACTAAAAAGTCTTCTGTTCCTTCTGGATGAGACAAAATTGGTGCACTGCACAACAATTGTTTCAATTTATGGAAGGCAGACTCGTGCCTGTCTTCCCAATCGAACTTCTTGTCTTTCTGGGTCAGAGATGTGCGAGGGTTGGCTATCGTGGAGAAATTCTCAATGAATCTCCAGTAGTAGCCTGCAATCCCTAGAAATTGGCGTGCTTCAGTTTGCATTGTTGACACCATCCAATCCCTAATCGCTTCTATCATTGAGGGATCAACATGAATCCCTTTGCTACTTGCCACATGGTCAAGGAAATGCACTTCATTAATCCAGAGCTCACATTTAGAAAACTTTGCATAAAGTTTCTTCTTCCTTAATAGTTCCATAACTAGACACAAGTGTTGGCCATGTTCTTCCTTGGTTCTTGAATATATTAATATGTCATCGATGAACACGATCACGAACTTATCCAAGTAAGGTTTGCACACCCGATTCATGAGCTCCATGAATACGGCTGGTGCGTTGGTCAGTCCGAATGACATAACTAGAAACTCGTAGTGACCGTACGGAGTCCTGAATGCCATCTTTGGAATTTCTGCTTCTTGAAGTCTGATTTGATGATAATCGGAACTTATATCGATCATTGAGTAATAGAAGGATCCTTGTAGCTGATTGAACAGGTCATTGATCCTTAGGACTGGATATTGGTTTTTGATGTTGAGTTTGTTCAACTCTTGATAGTCGATGCACATTCTGAACGATCTATCCTTCTTTTTGACAAACAATACCGGAGCTGCCCTTGGTGAGAAGCTTGGCCGAATAAAGCCTTTTGTCAAGTAGTTCTTGGATTTGACTAGAAACTTCTTGCATTTCAAATGGAGCCAGGCGATAAGGAGAACTTGCCACTAGTACTAGACCCAGGATTAGGTCGATTCAGAATTCTACCTGTTTGAATGGAGGTACTCCAGGTAGATCCTCTGAAAATATGTCCGGGTAGTCGCACACTTGCGGAATGTCTTTGTTTTCCTTACCCTTGCCTTGCATATCCACCACGTGGGCCAAGAAAGCGAAGCATCTTTTCTGGAAACACTTCCTTTCTTTCATGCACGAGATGAATCTTAGATTCTATCCTGATTTATCTATATAAATCACGAGAACTTCATTGTTGGGTAAAGGTTGTCAAACGATCTTTTTGTAACATAAAATATCCACTTGATGAGGTGATAACCAATCTATTCTGATGATTACATCGTAACTTCCAATGGTTATAAGCATTAGGTTGACGTGAAAGATGTGGTTATTTAGGGTGAGAAGACAATTGGTGAGTATTTCTAAAGCACTTTTTATCTGGCCGTTAGCTGCTTCTACCGTGTAAGCTTTATTATGTTTGCATGATTTATGGGTTATCATACTTCTAAACTTATGGGAAATAAAGATTCCATCGACACTAGTGTCAAATAATACAAAAGAATTAATATTGTTTATAGGAAACATACCAATAAACACAGTTCTTTCCTAGCGAGCATCTCCAGCACCTGTCGCAAATGCACTTCATTTGCCACCCTGATTCTTCAGTTTCAGGCAGTCCTTCTTAAAATGCCCTGGTTGATTGCATTCGAAGTAGTTACAGCTTCCTCCTGCAGTAATGGTTGAGGTTGTGTTGTTTGGGGCCTTTTTGCAGTACTTAGAGGTGTGAACTCTCAAGTTACAGTTGCTGCAGCCAATGCAATTTCCGACATGGTGGAAAATGCACTTGGTGCAGTGGGGTAAATTTCCAGAGTAGGGCTTTGATGGAGAGGGAGTGTTTGTGATTGCGGTATACACAGCCATAGGTTTTGGATTGGGTTTGCAATGCTTCAAGTTCCCCTTTGACTTTCCATGGACCTTACATGTTATACTCCCAACCTGATTCTTTTTTGGTTGTGGGGTTATGGTACCCTGATGGATACATTGTTCAGTTAATTGATAGGCCAATTACTTAGCACTGTAAAAGGTGGTGGCTTTGGATGCAGTAACCATACCTTGAACTAGCGAAGCTAACCCCCAAATGTACCTTTCTTTCTTTTTGTCTTCCGGGGTCACCATTACCGGACAAAGTGAAACATCCCAAAAATACAGTCCAAAAATTTCATTTTAAATCATTACGAAAACCATAGTTATCAAACATCATATAAAAAATCATAAGTCGTGTATCTCAAAATATCATAAATATATGTCAAACATATCATAGTATACACATCCCGGGCTAAACAAATGGTGTGTGCACTGCAGTCATCCCGAGCTCTTCCCTTTGCTATCGGAAGTACCTGAAACCAAAACTGAAAACTCTAAGCACGAAACTTAGTGAGTCTCCCAAAACTACCATATACCATACACATAATCACATAGACTGGGCCCCTGCCCCTTCCTCGGGCCCCGCCTAGCATTGGACAATGTTCGACATCAGGCCCGGCTGACATCGGACCCCGCTCGGTATACAAATCTGTTTGTACCATTCCCCCCCCCCCCCCCCCCCCCCCCCCCCCATACACATACAAACAAGAACACATGTTACGATTATAAACTCAAGTTGGTGTCATGTTATTATTTTATGGATTGCATGTTACGATTATTTATATTGATAAATTTGTGTAAACTTATATTAAAATTAAATTTTGTATGTCGAATTTCATGGTTGGCAATCAAGATATTTTGTATTTAATTATTAAAAGAAATCGCAGTCGTACCTCATTTGCATTATATATATTATATATGTTGCTTCATAATAATAATAATAATAATTCAGTATTTAAATACTCGACTTAATATTTTTTCATGTGGTTGATGTGCACCGTCCTAATATTCTTATCTATTTGGGGTTTTTTTATTATTTTTTTTAAAAATCCATGCGATATTTGAGAAAAGATCTTTTAAACATACAAAAATATCAAGATTCACGATTACCGTAATATCAAAATTAAATATATAAAGAGAATTAAGTATATATAATATTGGTTATTCAGTTGTTCCATACAAGTCAATAATGCAAATACAGTCTCTTATGACGCTTGTATAATCGTCAAAAAAACAAGGATAACGTATGGATTTAAGTGCAGAAATAGTTTTTAAAAAGTTGTGTAGAGTATACATATACGATCACCGCTTTCTTTGTTTTCCTCTCCTCTCTAGAAACCCAAATGAATTATTAGTATTATTATCTCCATCCGTTTTATCGTTATCTCAGATACTCATGTCGGAATTCCCTCTTACTCCGGCCACTTGTTGATTTTTCCGATAAGAACAAGGTTTTTCTACTCAATCTCTTCTCCTTTAATTTCTTTTTATATTCTTGGGTTATTTTTTTTTTTTTTTAAGATGACATACGTATTTGTTTAAGTCCATGTGGGATGATGAATGTTATCTGCAATTTTTTTTGATACTTGTTAGTGGATGGGGATGGGTTGTTCGATTAGGAGAAGGGTCTTTTTCTGATTTCTCTTTTTGGGAAAATTTTATAGCTGGGTTTATGTTACTGCAAATGGAATAATGCAGTCACATTCACAGTTTCAGTTCTTGGAAAGAAGCTATCTTTCCAGATAGGATAAAAAGAAATGTGTATTTTTGAATATTCAAAGGTTCAATTTGTGTTAAAGATGACAAATTTATTCACTAATCAAACGACAGAATCTATGTGGATTGATGGAATTCCATTTCAAAAAGTTATATTCTCTGCTTTTTTATTCGGAATCTACATATTTACCCTCAAATATATAACTTTTATATTGTGGAAACAGGATTGTTGAGGATAGTGGATTAGCTAGTAGCTATGGGGCGTTTCACATCCATGTTTAGTGGGCTAACAAGATCGTTTTCCACAACAAAGAAAGTGAAGAATTCAGGGGATCACGGTGGAAAAGAGACATCAGAAACCATGGTAAAAGATGCAAAGAAGAAGGATTTGATCTTAAGATCTTCTGGCTGCATTAACGTCCATAATTTGGCCTCTGTTTGCTCCAGAAGAGGCGAAAAGGGGGTGAATCAAGATTGTTGCATCGTATGGGAGGTATATTTTTTTTTCTTTTTTTCCAATCTTTATTATCTTAATTATCCATTCACTTAAAAACTTCATTTGTCACTCATGGGTGCAGGAATTTGGAGGGCAGGAGGAAATGACGTTCTGTGGGATTTTCGATGGTCATGGTTCATGGGGACATTACGTTGCAAAAAGAGTATGTGAATCGATACCTTCAACATTGCTATGCAATTGGCAAGAAGAGATGATGCAAGTCGAAGCTTCACTTGACTTACAACCTGTTAAAGTTAAAAAGCTCGACAGATTCCATGTGTGGAAGAATTCTTTCATAAGGACTTGTGCTTCTGTTGATCACGATGTACGAGAATGCCGTAAATTTGATTCTTTTCATAGTGGAACCACTGCTTTAGCCGTTGTTAAACAGGTTGGTTTGGTAGACTTATTTTGTATTTATTGATCTCCTAACTAATAACCTTCAAAAAAGATCGACGAAACTTAATTACCAATTATATATTATTATTATTGTTTTCAATCCAGGGTGAACTTCTAGTGATAGCAAATGTTGGGGATTCACGTGCAGTACTGGCTACAACTAGCGATGATGGGTGCTTGGTACCAGTACCACTTACTGTTGATTTCAAGCCAAATCTACCTCGTAAGTATCTTTAGAGGCTCTTCACTTTAAAATTATCGTATGCATTCATGTCATGGAGGATAATATGATAACTTATTCATTTACGTTTGTACAGATGAGGCGGAGCGAATAGTTGAATGCAAAGGACGGGTTTTTTGTTTAGAAGATGAGCCTGGTGTGCACCGGCTATGGTTACCAAATGAGGAGTCACCTGGTCTGGCTATGTCAAGAGCCTTTGGTGACTATTGTGTCAAAGATTTTGGACTTGTATCCGTGCCTCAAGTAACAGAAAGACGTATAACTAGGAAAGACCAGTTTATCGTGCTTGCTTCCGATGGGGTACTTATGATTATTTCAAGTTACATACATATATACTATATTATACCGAACTATAGACCGAACTAGACATGATTGAACAAGACAAACGATATCATCTTGTTACACCTTTTTAGATGGAAGAAAATATGTTAAGCTTTATCTATTTAACAATTGACATGCCCAATGCTCATGTCATATATATTCCTTAGAGTGTAGAAATTGTGAGAGAAGATCTTAGAAACTTAATTGTCTCTTTTATTTTTTGTGAATTAATTTGTGTAGGTGTGGGATGTAGTTTCGAATGAAGAAGCAGTGGAGATCGTGTCGTCTACCGTCGACAAGGCTAAATCGGCAAAACGACTGGTGGAGTTTGCGGGGCGAGCCTGGAAACGGAAGAGGAAAGGGTTTGCAAGCGATGATATCTCGGCTATTTGTCTCTTTTTTAATAATGGTTCACCTTCATCTCAGCAAATTCATCCTCTAGCTAGTAGCGACTCTTAACCATTATCTTATGTAAATCTTAATGAGATATGGTTGTTCTTATGGTGATTCAAAGCATTTTATCCAATTTCCTACAATTGCGAGTGGGTATATTTTTTTGCTTTTCATTAAACCAAACGACTTGAGTTGCCTACAATGTAGCATAGTTGATTCGTCGATAGATACTTACAAAAGTAGAGGATTAGAATCCCGTCTCTCATACCGATCCACTTAGTGACAAAAATGGCTCTAATGCTAATGTATTCTTCGAAAATGGGTATCTAGGCTCACATCTCTCATGTTGATCCACTTAGTGACAAAAATGGCTCTAATGCTAATGTATTCTTCGAAAATGGGTATCTAGGCTCACATCTCTCATGTTGATCTGCCAGCAACCATGCATAATCTAGGCTTACAACTCTCGTGTTGTTCCACCAACAACCACTCAATATAAGATATCCTACAATAAAACAATCACGCAATCAAAACCTATACTAGCAAACAATCATGCAATCAAAACCTATACTAGCCTACTTGCCTTATCATCATATTACAATATCACTACATCCTAGCATACAAGGGATATATTTTGTAACACATAGTATAGTGAGATAACTCACCTGGATCGAATACTAAATAAACCATAGCCAAACGCACAAATCCCGCAATAACAGTCTCACGAACCGCCTGAAGGCCAAATAAAGGCCAAACCTTAGTCTATAGCTTTTATATCCACCAATTTGTCCAAAAGTCAAATTTGTCAAGAAGTCAACGGTCAAAGTAAAAGTCAACAACCCTAAAAATCAAATAGGCACACTACACCCTCATACACGAGTGTCGTGCCCAATACAACAAAATAAATGATATTTTGAACATAAGTCGCACCATACCCCCATATATACGCACTACGCCTAAGGTGATATTCAGCAATTTAAAAAAACCTCTTAAACCCTTAAGCCAAAGGCAAATACTTTCAGATCTCGTTATAAACAATTACCTAATGGATAAACTTTCCAACTTTACCCTTACACTAGCCACATACCAACTCAAACCTAAACCCTAGATCATAAAAGTATCCAAAAATGGCTAATTCGTCAAGCATGGAGAAAAGAGAGCTTTTGCATGCACTCTCTACTCCACCACAATCTCATATCTGAACCCAATTCCAAACTCTGGAGTTCTACAAACTCCATGGGAAAGATACCAAAGGGAACAAAACTCACTAGAAATGACTAAAATCTCATCAGACTCATAAATCTATGGATGAAACCATAAAAAGCAAGTATCTTTGACACTTACAAAGGTCCAAAATTGTAGGGAAGGTTAGAATCTTAAGTGTTCTTGGTTCCTCGCATTAACTTTCTTGAATCAGGTATCAAGAACACTCAAAATGCATAAAACGTGAATATAGAAGAGAAACTAAGCTAAAAACACCTCAAAGAGGTTAGGGTTTCTATCACAATGTACCTCTAGAGTTGGAGGCTAGTAAATGATGAAGCCCCATGGGTTTATGCTCTTAAATAGGCTCAATTCTAGAGGCCTTTAGGGATTTGGCCCAAAGGCCAGCCAGACATCACAATCTTCTAGGCGCGTCGCGCTTATGAGCCAAACTCTATAAATTGAAGTCCTTATTGATTCTCCACTTACCTCCACACATCCCTCCTTCATTATACTTTAATTCACTATTCATGGGATGAAACTACAATCAAAATCCGGGTATTACATATGTATTTAAGCAAATAATGTAAAATCTGTTATATCCCTCAAAATACAAATGTTCACATTTTTGTCTCATGATATCACTAAAACTTAGAAAGACACAACTATATGAAAACCAAAAATTAGAGTATTTAGCTATATTCTATTCGATAGATTAGAGAGTTTTGGGCACAACACCTATTAGTTAAATCAAGAAAACGAAAAGATGAAAGAACATGACACGTTCTTTAAATGGACGCGACACATCGATGTGTACTGGCAATGAACACGTGTCACCAGAACATGACACGTAACAAGATAAGATTCCTTGCAAAAGACACAATGTGACAACAAGGTAGTCACGTAGCAAAAATGTGATACATGGCAGGATGCTTGACATGTAACACCCCTCACATGGGCCTATTTGAAATTGCCTTTAATAAAAAATTTTAAAATGTTTTCAGAGTTTTAGTTTGTGGATAAACAGTCCCAAAGTTTCATTCAAAAGATTTTATAGAGTTCAAATGCGGCTAACGGTCCCAATTCAAAATTTCAAACATTTAGTGGTTTCATAAAAAACATTTTAAGGGAGAGTGTTACAACAGACATCAAAACAAGGTTTAAGACACATTACAAACCAAAGGTCTTATAACTATCCACAAATATTGAGTCCTCTAAGCTTCTAACAAAATCTATTAACCATCAAAAATTCTTCAACAAGTAACTTAGGCTCTGGGGAGTCTAGTGAGTACAATCCTGGGGTTTAACATTATACAAATAGTGTATGAGTGAACACTCAACTCATACACAAATGTACAAAACCATACATTTTCAAAACAATAAAACATAAATATTTAAATTTAGACAAAATATAACTTTTAACAAAGTACATTATCATAATTGACAATGTCCATGCAAACTTCACCATCAAATAAACAATACCAAGTGAGTATACCTTGAATAGTACCTTTCAATAATAAAATCCAAAATAGAAATAATTCAGCAAATAAATACTCTTGTGAGCTAAAACATGATATAAATTCAGTTTACTATATTCAATATTTCCAAAACATCCAAAAATCATATATATTGACTCAGGTTCGAAATCCAAATATAACAAAAGGATTTCATATACCCATAAGGTTTCCTTAAAACATTTATATTTTAAAAAATAGACACTTAAGTCCCAAAATATACAAAAAGTGTAAACAAAATCAATTCCAAATAAGTAATATGCAATGCATGCAACTACTCCCAACCCCTTGTCAATCTCAAAGTCCAGCTCACCACAAACGTTGGATGTGCAGTACTCATGACTGAAGAAACTGCCAACTTTATCACTCACATTCGACAACAAAAGGTTGATGGCCAAGTGTGACGAACTCACGATTGGAGAAACTAATCAACTTTTTCCCTTACACCCATAAACAGGTACTAGGGGCTATCCTGTCACACCCCCAAACCAAGGATGGCGGAAACGTCCGGGGGTGGAGGACTTCATGTATAGTATCATAACAGCAATTGTAATAGTAATTCAAGCAAACACAACCAACATATATATATAATTGAAAAAAATTACATCATTGTATGAATTACATGTTTACGAATCAATCACAATATGTTGATAAAATATGAAATAGTAGACGCCTTAGCGTCCCATCCTCAAATGCACTTGATTACCTGTTTAATGATTTCCTGAGAATACAAGTTGTTTGAAAAAGTGTCAACACAAAGGTTGGTGAGTTCATAAGCTTCTGTTTGGTATTATTAAAAGCCTTTCGTTTGTAAAAGTAGTATTTGTGTTAGAAAAATCCAATATTTTCCTTAATGTGTAAATGTAGTCTTAAAACCCAAAGACCGAAATGTACAAGTAATTTGTCATATTTATAGTAAAACAATGCAAGTTTAAATCGACATAAACTCGTTAAATTTTAATGAAGTTCCCGTAAATTCCAATGTTTGTTAATACTTTATGTGAGTTTATTATAACCATACTATGACCAAGGTTGCCTAAAACGACGTTCTTCAAGCGTCGGAAATGTTATGACATTTGTCACCCCAGACCTATCGGTCTAACTGTTGCATGCAGTTTAGGTGTGGGTTTGTCAAACCCAATATAGATCTATACACAAGTATCACGCTCTCCCTTAAGGAGACTCTGGTTACAATACAGACTTAATGGTAATTTGAAGTAAATGTCTCACAAAGTCATTAACGGAATTACGTGTTATGAAAACTTGGTACCGTATGGTCGTACCTTGCTTAATGAAAATATCCTTTGTATAAATGTACCCTTTTTAAATGTATGTGTTATGTAATGTATCATAAACTATACCTATTATAGTTTATCAACCAAGGGTAGTACGTGGTAATGTATGCAAACTATATTCAAAATAGTTTATTTTATGTTTGAATGTATCGATTGTACTTTGATTATAATCACTTGTTATTCTTTATATTTTATATGACCAAATCCAGTTGTAAACTGATGTGTGTCTAAATATTAAGATAAAATGTCATATATTGCAGTAACATATAGTCACATAAAGATATACACCTTGCTCAACATGTTACAAGGTGAAATGAAATTAACAGCAACTTTTCGTTAAAAACAGTTTATGTTACCGTTCTTAGAAAATTTATAGAAAAATCATCACAGCTCTAAATCCAAATCCGCAAATTTTGAGAGTTTGGAATATGAGTCTAATTTGTTCGTAAATTTTATCATGATTTTTAGTGATCTCTAACAGAGGTGAAAATGTTCATAATCACAGACTGGTCCGGGTTTGCCTCTGAAATGACAGGCAGTTTTGTAAAAATCACCATTAATTGTAGAAAAATCATTTGGAGATGTGCAAGTAGTCATTTTAAAGCTAAGAGTTTGAACTACTTGCACCTGAAACAGCTTTGAAAATTAAAATATTTAAGTTGACCAAAACAGTCCGTGATTAACGTCCATCTTTTCTGATGCAATCTGTTAGAAAAAGTTTAATTGTGTTCTTGATGATTTTACTTGTATTCCCTCCTTAAAACTTAAGAAAAACATGTAAATGTATGGGTATGAACTCACCTTATGTGGTTTCAGTAGATGAAAGTGAGAGAGAGGAAGTGTTCAACTCAAGAACACTAAGAAGATGTCTTGATGATTCGAAAATCTAACACCGAATAAGATGGAACTTGTGTAAGATATCAATAATTTGAGTAGAATGGAGTTTAATAATTATGTGAATGATGAAGATACTTACTAATTGAAGAAAGAAATCCCTGGAGAAAGCCTTGAAGTTCTTGAAGTTAAGAGAAAAGATGAGAGAATTTTGGAGAGTGTTCTTGGTTGCTAAGTGTAGAATGAAAGAGTTTTTATGGAGAATGAGGAGAGAGGATCAATCCTCCAGCTCTTAGAACGTGGGAAGAG